GCAGTACAGGTGAGCCTATGGGTGGCTTTGGAATACATCTCCCAGAGTTCCACAGACAGCATGACCAACTTCTTCCAGATGTAGTCCAAAAACCCAAATATGCACACCACTACTCTATGGCAAGTTTCTCCAAAGCATTAAAGAAAAACAAAGAAAGCAAAAGAAAATTTCACTAGATCTTTGCCATTTGTTGCTCACTAACATCCGGAGTGATCCCGAGCCATGAGCGATTTTTCGATTCCATTACAAAAGCTTCCCACGCGTATACATTCAGTGATTTAACATATAGAGTTTAAATCAAAAGTACATTGACATAGTACAATAAAATGAATCACATGACATACACAAGGAAAAAAAATAGATCTAAAACATACAGGACAGAATATTGCCTTTCTCCACAGCCTAGCAGTGAACATGCTGTATCAGGTAGTGCTCCTCATGTCTTCTTTTCCACCCAATCCATTTCAAAAAAGTTATACAGGTGTGTGTGTGTGTGTGTGTGTGTGTGTAGCAGCTGCCTTGAGAAGAGTGGAGGCAGGCAGGAGTGAATTTGCCTTTTTGATGGTGGAAAGAGCTACATGAACCAACCAACTTGTTGAATCCCCTAAATAAGCTTCCTGCCCTCAGCTGTGGTGAAATATGCTACCCCTTTATCAGTTCTGAATGGGCAGATTTGAATGGACATGTTTGGAAGGGTGCTAGACAGCCATCTTGTCCTTCCCCATGAGCAACAAAGTGTCATAGGATTTGATATTTGTTCCCCAGAAAGTAAAACTCCCCTAAAGTCCAAGGCCAAAGCCTTTACGGTGGTGCCTCGACTTATGAACTTAATCCGTTGCGGAAGATGGTCGTAACTCGAAATGGCCATAAGTCAAAGCACCATTTCCCATAGGAATGCATTGAAATGCAATTAATCCATTCCGGCCGAAGAAAAAAAATCACCAAACCCCCCCCCAAATATTGCAAGACCCATTGGAAACGTGATTAATCTGGCCAAAGGGGGGGGGGGAGAAAAGCAAGCAAAGCATGTAAGACCCTTCAGAAATGCAAAAAGAGCAAAGCAGAAAGCAAGCAAAACATGCAAGACCCATTGGAAATGCAAAAAAGCAAAGCAGAAAGCAAGCAAAGTGTGCAAGACCCATCGGAAATGCAAAAAAAGCAAAGCAGAAAGCAAGCAAAGCATGCAAGACTCATCGGAAATGCAAAAAAAGCAAAGCAAAAAGCAACCAAACCCCTCAAGACCCATCAGAAATGGGGGAAAAAACCCAAAAAGCAAACAAACCCCCCAAGACCTATTGGAAATGGGGGGGACCCAAAAAGCAAACAAACCCCTGAAGACCCATCGAAAATGGGGGAAACTCCCAAAAAGCAAACAACCCCCCCAAGACCGATTGGAAATGAGAGGGAAAATAAAAAAACAAACCCCCCAAGACATCACAGCACAGAAACATAGCCCCCCAGCCCAAAACTACATTGCAAAACCCACCCAGAACAGTTTTTAAAAAGCAGAAAGCAGCACCTTACCTTACCAGGCAGTCCGAAGCCTCCTCTGATTGCACTCACTCTAACCATTGGGGCAAAAGAGCTACAAAAAAGCAGCCTCTTCACCTACCAATGGTTAGCAATTTGAATTCCCCACCTTTTCCCCCTGCCTTTTTTGGTTGTAACTCGAAGCTCTGGCTGCAAGTGGAAGCAAAATTTTGCGACTGGAGCTGGTCGTAGCTTGAAATGGTCGTAAGTTGGGACATTCGTAACTCAAGGCACCACTGTATTTTAATGGAGAAAAACAACTGGATAGAAAGAAGGGGTTCTCAAAGGCAGTGGGGTATTGGACCAACCTATATCCAATAGCCAAATGATTGTAACAGCCAACCAAAAATGCTGCCATCTATGTGGATCATGCAAAGAAAGGAAGGTTTTAAAGGAAGCACTCTCAGGTGCTGTGCAGTTACCTAGTTATCCTTTACACCGCATAGGATGATTTGGCAGGAAAATCCTTTAAAGTATTACAGGCCAGTCAGGCTGTTGTCAGGCAACAACAAATGGACAGGAAGTGGAAGCAAAGTGCTTAATGACAGGTCACCAATCCCTGTGAGCTAGAAAAGTTACTGTTTGGTCTAAACTCCCTAAGACTGAACTGGAAGTGCTCATCTGGGTGCTTCTTGTTTGTGTCCTCCCCCTTTCCATTTTTGTTATTGTTGTTTAGTCGTTTAGTCATGTCTGACTCTTCATGATCCCATGGACCAGAGCATGCCAGGCCCTCCTGTCTTCCACTGCCCCCCCCAGAGTCTGGCCAAATTTATGTTGGTCGCTTCCATGACACTGTCCAACCATTTCGTCCTCTGTCGTCCCCTTCTCCTCCTGCCTTCACACTTTCCTAACATCAGGGTCTTTCCACTTTAGGCCATTTCTATTCCTGTTTTGCCCAATAGACAGGTAATAAAGTTTAATTTAATTAAATTAGCACTCAGTTTAATTTAATTTGTAGTTTAGTTTTAATTTGCCTGTCCTTGAATTTGAACAATAGAATTTGCATCTTAAATTGTATGGGTGCCCAACGGAATAGTCATTCTGAGATCATGTATCTGACTCTAACAAGTATAGTAGTTGCTGCCTTCTGTAGCAAATTTTATAGTAGTTTTCCAAGGTGATTTCAGATGCCAGAGTTTCCAAGAAAAGTTCCATGTTTTTCCCAAGGAAATGAGTATAAAACCAGTCCATGGTTTAGAAAGTTCTGAACAACCAGAGATACTGTATTAATGCTTCTAATTATCTCCCCTGGTTTTGTTTTGCTTTCTTTTTAATGGATTGTAATAATTATGGTATGTGACATATTACAACTGGGAACGGTTGAAAATGTTACCATTATTATTACCAGAATTGATTCAAATTTTGGAGAAATGTGCATGGGCATGGATGCAATTTATAGTGAGAAGATTTATCTGAGTTTGTCATCCAGTTCAAGCAACAACAAAAATGTGCTTCGAAATGTATATATTGGGAAAATATACATGGGGAAGGTCAATTTTTAAAGCCACATCCAGATATGCTTTGGTCAATGGGAGAAAAAGTATGCTGTTGAAAAGAGTTCAAAATGCCAACATTTAGAAAAATGAAATAGTACACAGAAATATGCAGTCATTTCCATATGGGGAAAAGAGAAGCTTAGTCTATTACAGATACACTGTAAGTCAGAAGAAGAACTGAAAATTGATGGAAATTAAGATTCTCGTGATAAGCTTGCATTTTCCTGACTCTATCACTTTGTGGAAAAGACATAGGGAGCACCTACACTGATGAATAATATGGCAAAGGCTCTGGAATAGGGAGTCAGATTCATATTATTTTCCATTGGCTACATGATATACATGATATACAAATCAATGTGAATCAGCCCAGATTTTTTCCAGTGTGTTTTCCCACTGCTACTGGGGCTTCTACTTTTTTTGGAGCCAAATTCATTCACATTGGTTTTGGTGGTGAAATTGTTAGAGTCAACATAGAGCAGTTTGTAGCTATTCTGTTGGAAGAAAGGCAGGGCAGTGCCTGCCATCTGAATCCTTTCTAGAGATGGGCACAAACCTCAGTCCGGAAGTTTGTGCTGCTTTGATGGACCAGCACCACAGGTGCTGCATGTTCCTGTCCCCCACCTCCCCAGACCAATGCCTCACTCACTAGCTGGCACCCACTGGTCTTCTCTTTGGGTGTCTGACCGACCGGTCCCTGCAGGAGCACATGCTTCCCTCCTCTGCCTCCTCCAGCAGCCACCCACTCAGATGAGGGGGCAGGACAGGGATGCCTGCAGCGCTGCCTTTGAGTGGGCAGCTGCCAGAGGAGGGGATTACATGCTCCTTCTGGAACTGGCCAGGTGCCTAAAGAGGACGAGAAGACAGCGACATTTGGCTTGTGAGTAGAGAATTTGGCCAGGGGACTGAGGTTCATGCCCATCTCTAATTCTCTCCCTCACAAAGCCGCTCCCTGGGTCTGCTTGTTTTCTCTTTCTCCTCCATTTTTTCCTTTTCTTTTCAAGACTTGCTGCCCTAGTGCTATAGCAGCTAGGTGACCAAAGGGGGGAGGGGAGAGTAAAGAATTAACAGAGAGAGGAGGAGGAAGCTACCAACCAGCCTTGTTTCTAGCTTGTTATGGTAGCTGTGCTCTAACTATGCCTCCGACAAACCTGGACAGCCAGAGAGGAATTACTTTAAGAACTGCAAGCAGCCAGTCCCTCCCCCTGCCCACTCCTGTGTGGACAGGTAAAGTGAATTCACCTAGGGAAGCATGACTTCCCAGGTGAGGCTTCACAGCAGATCTGTTTGCATTTTTCATGCTATGTAGTCACAGCTTCAGAAATACCAATGATCTGTTTTGGTGAATGAGAGGGACATGGATCATCTGTGTTTCCCTCATTCGTCAACTTCATTCTCCTCATTCCTTCATATTGATCTTCCAAGAATCTGCCTGCCTCCCTCTTTTGCCTTCCTTGCCTTGTCCAGCTGAAGCTGCCACTGCCTGTTCTCTTGCCCAGCTCTTTCCTCTCCCTCCTGCTACTACCGCCATGTTCATCTTGTTGTCCAGCCAGCCCCACTACTCTTTCCCCTCCTTCCTGTCACTGTTGTGCATCTCCTTACTTTGTCCAGCCAGCCTCTGGTTCGTTTCCCTTCTTTCTACCGCGTTTGTGTGTGTCCTCTTGCCAAACCAGTGCTGCTTTCCCCTCCTTCAATCTGGGAATAATGACAAGCTGAAAGATCTGATAGACGCCTCCCTTTGGTGGCAAGCTAAAGGAATCCTCTATCCTAGCAAATGAAGTTTGACTGTAGCTGGCAGAATGAAAGACAAAACAGGCACCCACCCACCCCCCAAGGGCATGGACCCCAAACAAACGGAAAGTGCCTGTCCTTAGTTGAAACTTTTTGAGGTGAAATGGCTATGTACTGTAATCGTGTTCTAAATATTAATTTCCAGATTTTTACAGAATCTGTTTCCTCTCCCCTCCTCCCTAGGAATTTCTGAGAGCTCAAACCTGGAGCTCATAACATTGACATGCACCTGCGTGGCAGCAACGCTCTTCTGGCTCTTATTAACACTCTTCATACGGAAGCTGAAAAGGGTAAGGACAAAACCATGTGCACTTTTTTAACTGGTGTGTGACCTACTTTAAATACTCCCTGATAGAATCCCTTCATCAAAAATATGTCATTTATGAACACGAATGAGGGAGTGTTGGCTTCATGCAGATTGAAGGCTGATTTCCTCTTGCACACCACAAACTGGATGTCACTATAAAAATGGCATTTCAAACACTAGCCATTTCCTGCATTTCTTTAATTATTTTCTATAAAAAACAAGTATAGTATGCATCTGCTATCGTACACAAAACTAGTGTCTTCTAGCACCTTAAAGTCTGATATACTCATTGCCACATGTGTTTTTGGTGCCAAGAGTTTACTTTGTCATCACACTTTTTGACCAAAATCCTGTTTTGCTTAGCCTAGCAAGTAGCACTAGAGTAGCCCATTTGAATCAATGGACCTTACAGATGGGCCTTTTCTAGCTCTATTTACTATGCTAAACAACAGGATTTCAGCTTCTAGCTTTATTTACTATGCTAAGCAACAGGATTTTAGCTATACAGTGGTTCCTTGAAAGACAAATGCCTCGCAAGTCAAAAAAAAAACTCACAAGACAAATGGTTTTGGCAATGGGGTTGATGACTCGCAAGACAAATGTTCCTATGTCCATGCTTCGCAAGAAGAAGGTTTTCCATTTTTTGTTCCTGCCTCACGTTTGCTGATTTTAAAATGTTTTTCTATGATGTTTAAAAAGTTAAAGTTTTTTGATTGAAATTTTTAAAATCATCTGCACACTATATATGGCTTTAAAGAGCACTTAATAAACCCATTGTAAATCAAATTTGACTTTGTTCTGACTTTTTTTGCCCATAGGAATGCATTAATTAGATTTCAATGCATTCCTATGGGAAAATGCGTTTTGCAAGATGAATTTTTCGCAAGACAACATTAACCGCGGAACGAATTAAATTCATCTTGCGAGGCACCACTGTAGTTGGTTTGGTCACAACAAACTAATATAGTACAGTACAACCATTCTTCTTTCTTGTTTGTCACACAAGCAGCTGGTATAGTAACATGTAGACCACAGAAAGTTATTTTGAAAAAATAATTATAAAGACATGTTGAAGCCAATGGTAAAAATTAAATAAAATATCCAGGCTCTGGGTTAGCTTGCCAAGGGTGGGTGGTGGGTGGGATCAACACTTTGTTCTTGGTATGTGCTACCAAGTCTCTTCCAAGTTACAAAGCCCCCAAAAGAGTTTTCAAAGTATGTGAAATATTCAAGGAGTTGTTTACCTCTCTCTCTCTCTCTCTCTCACACACACACACACACACACACTCACACAGAGAGAGAGAGAGAGAGCCTGTTTCCATTGCTGAGTGATGGGGGCGGGTCTGAATCCAAGTCTCCTCAGTCCCATCAATTACCAAATATTTTGGTCACATTGCATTTTCAGTCAAGATGGTTCTGAATTTTTATTTAAAAATGAATATTGTTCCCAAGCGAATTTGCTTGGACTTAAAGAAGATTCCTAGCTAAATACAGGCCTATGACTGCTTTTATCTGAATGTTTTCAAAGATGCAAAGTCCCATTAGTACACAGTATAATTTGTCTATTTCTCCCCCCAACCTGTACATTTTTACTCAGACATAAATCTCTTGGAATTTCACCCTTAATTTTTCCAACATTCTAAAGATTCCAAATTACCTGTGAGGAATGATTGTAGAGAAATAATCTTGTGTAAGCGAGAGCCTGTAGGGAACGATGAATCCCTGAACATTTGAAAAATGTGTGCATACAATGTTGCTGATGAATGCCTTGCAGATTACATCTCGGCTTGCACAACATTTGAGCTACATTTGGCCATTTTTTAAAAAACAAACATCAACAGCTGAACTCATCTGTTGTGTGTGCCAGCATTTTCTCTCTCTGCACACTTGTTGGCCAAATCTATTTTTAGAGGCTGTAGTTATTCATTTTCTGAAAATACTCCAGAATGGAAGTACAGACTCAAGTCTTTATTACATGACTATTATTTGAGAGGATCTTCATATGGATTGAATTGGAGAAATGAAGTATGTGGTATGTATGAGAGAAGGCAATGCGAAGATTGTTGTAATAATTAAAAAAGGTGATGTTAAAATGAAGAGTCTTTGACAGATTGTACTTTGGAACATTAAAAATGTGTGTCCATATGGCAGAAGGTGGAGCAGTGACATTTAATTAACCAATCACTTTCCTGAACTAGGCCAGGAGATCTAGCTCAGCATTATTGTTCTTTGTACTATGATATGACTTGGGAATATTTAAATTGTTTTCTAGCCTTATTCTTCCGAAATAAAGACAGATTATTTGTCAATCATAATGGAACCTGAAGAAGTCCCTTTAGATGAACAATGTGAACGACTCCCATATGAGGCCAGCAAATGGGAATTTGCCCGGGAAAGGCTAAAACTGGGTAATTATGTTTTTTAAAAAATATTTATATGCTGCCTTTCTCCCCTTAGGGGACTCAAGGTGATTTGCAACAGATAAAACTATAAAACAAACACAGTTTTAAAATATTATATGAGTATTATGTAAATAGCATTTTAAAAACCAATTAAACCTATGTTAAGATTAAAAACCAAGATTAAAAGCATTTTTATTATTATATGTTTGTTATTCTTTAACTGCATGGGATGTTGGGTTGGTACTCAAAACGGAAGTGTTTTCATGAGGCTTGCATTCCCTTAATACTGGAAATAAGTTAATTTATTAAAGCTCAGTCTGGACAAATTTTAATCAAAAAGTGCTGAGATTAAAGGAAATTCTATCTGGTGCACAAATTTTCTTCTTCCTTCTTTTTGTTTAGAAGCACGGAGGTCTGGGGAAAAAAGAAAGTATATTTGCTGGGCTTTGTTGAGTTACTTCACCCTCTTCCTTGACAGGCCTCAGCTGTCTTTAACTTTAACTGTTAAAGCTCCTTAATAATATTGAGAAATGGGATGCTTTCGCTTTAAATCTTCCTTCTCCCTCACAAAGAAGAAGTTTTGCATTTCTTGTTAATGGTTGCTAATAACGATGTTTTGACAGGGCTTTTAAAAAACCTTTCAGAGCTTCACTGACGCATTAACAACATTTAAAAAGAATTGCAAAACTTATCCCCTGCCCTGCCCCCCCAAAAGAGAGCCCAGATAAAGTTTCTAATTAAGCTTAATTAAGTTTCTAATTAAGCTTAATTAAGTTTCTAATTAAGCTGTCCCTTCAAAGGCAAAACAGCGTTCCGTGTCTAAATCACACTGGCCATGTGACCACGGAAAGATTGTCTTCGGACAAACGCTGGCTCTATGGCTTGAAGAGCGGGATGAGCGCCGCCCCCTAGAGTCGGACACAACTGGACAAAAATTGTCAAGGGGGACCTTTACCTTTACCTTTACCTTCAAAGGCACAGCCTTAACGATCTTGAGAAATCTTTTCCTTTAAAAAAAATATTTCCTTTGAAATCTTGATTGTACTAAACAGGATCACTTGAGGTGTAGTTTCCTTACTGAAACCACCAGATCTTTGCACTTGGATGCAAAGACCACACCATGCACCTTTGTCCAACCTTAACCAACCTTAAGTGACCCTATTTAGCCCAGTCCTTTCTGCTTCAATTTGGCCATTTAGCCAAGTCCTCAGTTGCACAGCCCCTTAGGCATCAGTCTTTATCAATGGTTGAATCACAAGGGGATCAGAGTATTACTGCGCAGAAAGGGAATGTAGCTCATGGCAATAGGTGTGAAAGATCTTAGCTGGGAGCTAATCCCTTTCCATGAGTGCAGATAATCTTAGAACTGCAGAGCTGGAAGGGACCCTATGGACCATCAAGTCCAGCCCCTGTCAAATATGTTGTCAAGATATCTTAGTGAAACAAGACTGTTTAGAGTACAGAAGTTGAGGAAGCATTGTTCCACATCAACTATTAAAGTGTTTGCTTACTGTGGTGCCATATATGTGTCCATGGTTGTGCCATTGATTGGGAGACAACGTCCTACTACCAAAGTATAAATAGGGTTGTCAGTACAAATAAGAGTTTCGTGTTGTAGTGTCATTCAGAATGGTTTTTCAATGGCTTTTAGCCTATCGTGTGGGACACTGGTGACAAGTGCCTCTGCATTCATAGTGATTAGAATGGCCTCTTCTGCAAAGCTGTGAATGGAGGGGAATTTCTTTAAGGGTCTTTCTTTAAGAATGACTCTAAGACAATGTTCCAGTATCACTTTCCTCAGAATACCCAGAGCAGACAAGCTGTTTACTCACTGGAGATCTGGAGGAAGAAGTACAGAGATTCTTAATGGCAGGGATGGGTAACATACAGCCAAAGAGCTGCAAGTGGCCTCCCCTAAACTGCTTTGGTGATTATGGGAGTTGTAGTTTATTAGCTCCTGCTGCCTCTATTTGCAGCTCAGCTCTGGAAACATCACCACTGAAACAGCTCCTGCTGGTGACTCTTTCACTGATGCCAAAAACTGGCATTTAAAAAGGGCAACTTTAGGCCTTTGAGACATTCCCTTCCCTTCTTTTCTCTTCCCTCATGGAGAGTATTGTACTGTTGACAGTACAAGTTATCACACATGTCCTTCAGCATACTTAGATAAACAGGCATATAAAAGCCTTTTAGTGCAGTGGTGCCTCGCAAGATAAATGCCTCACAGGACAAAAAACTCGCAAGACAAATGGTTTTGGCAATGGAGTTGATGACTCACAAGACAAATGCTCCTGTGGCTGTGCTTCGCAAGAAGAATGTTTTCCATTTTTTGTTCCTGCCTCATGTTTGTTGATTTTTAAATGTTTTTCTATGATGTTTAAAAGTTAAAGTTTTTTGACTGAATTTTTAAAATCATCTGCACAATATGTATGGCTTTAAAGAGCACTTCATAAACCCTTTGTAAACCAAATTTGACTTTGTTTTGACTTTTTTTTGCCATAGGAACGCATTAATTAGATTTCAATGCATTCCTATGGGAAAATGCATTTCGCAAGACGAATTTTTCGCAAGACAACATTAACTGCGGAACGAGTTAAATTCGTTTTGTGAGGTACCACTGTATTTACATCTTAATGTGAATTAACAGATTTCTAAGAAGGTTCCTCTTTCATTGGCTGAAATACTGTTAGTTGGCAAAGTCACAATTAGAGTAGTCCCACTGAATTAGTGTGGATTTGATGAGTCAACTCCTCTGTAGGTTCCACTGATTCAATGAGATTGCTTTATTTGCAACTGACTACACTAAGTAACAGGATTTCAGTCATTGTATTAATAGACCATGGAAAGCAAGTTTAGTAATCAACTTAGTTTGTTTGAATTATGTTGAGACTCGAAATCAACAATGTCAACAACCTTAGGCAAGCTGAAGTCTGCCCTCAACATATATGATAGCTAAATAACAGAGTGATCCCATTATGAATCTTAAGAATGCAAAATAAAGTTGAAACAAATTCTTTTGTTATGTGTGGCCAGTAAAAAGGTGCAATCTAAAAGTCAAGCTATATATAACCTGAAGAAATACATAGGCTTCATTCGAAGTCTGATTGCTCAGACATGAAGGTCACTTCAGTTTCTAATGATGTGCCGGAAGGGAGCTGGAAAGGGACCTTGTGGATCATCAAGTTCAGCCCTGTCAAGGAGGCAGAGTGAGAACTCCAAACCCCTGGCTCCACAGCCAGATACCTAAATCTTGTTTAATTTGATTGTTTTGTAAGATAAATCTCTTGGGAACTGATAAGGGGCCTTGATTTCTATCAATATTGTGGGGGGAAGACCCTCCCAAATCTGATATGCTTGTCCTTTTTACTGTTAAGCCACATAGAACATTCTCCATTTCAAAATGCTTTTCTTACAAGTCCGTAAAAACAACTACACACAATTTGTATGTGTGCATCTACATCTGTATTTGTCTTCGCAGTATGTGAACTACTGCAGCACCTCATAAACCACCTGTGAAAGTAATATCAAACCCCTTGGTCATCTGGAAAAAGTGCACAGTGTAGTTTATTTCCATACCTGTATGGCTCCAATTTTCAGAAGAGGCAGGAGTGGAATTGGAAGGAACTTGAGTGTATGCCATCTCCCCATATGGCAAGGTTTTTCTTACACTGCAATAATCCAATGCTATGGAACATGTGGCCCTCCAAATTTTGTTGGACTGCCATCAGCCCTGTTCAGCATAGCTGGTGGTAAAAATAGATCTCCCAATAAGTATTTCCAGAAATAATTTGGAGAATTTCAAGAGGTCATTTGTGAACAGCTGTAGGCATAGCATGCACATCTTGCCAGTGACAAGTAACATCTAGGTGCCTTGTTTTCATTCTCTGAACAGTAATGAGTTTTACTCATGGCCACTGAAAGCAACCCCCCCCAAAAAAAGAACCCCTTTGTTCTAGCAAATTGCTGCAAAGTATATTGGCACATATACTTACAGTACAATATACAGTAAATAATTTCTCATTAGAGAAATTATTTATAAGCTCTGCTCTAAATTATGATTTAAGAATAAGCTGCAGTCTGAAACTGGAGTTTGACATTGGCTTGCCCATTGGTATGGTTTAAACCCTAGGTTCCCAACCTTTGTTACTCGGATGTTTTTGAACTGCAACTCCCAGAAACCCCAGCCAGCACAGTTGGTGGTGAAGGCTTCTGGGAGTTGCAGTCCACAACTCCTGAGTAAGCCAAGGTTGAGAACCAGTGGTTTAAAAAAAAGGTGATTTCCCCTGTGTCTTGGAGAATTAAGACTTCTTTAAAAACTGAAGCAGCAGGGTATTGATTTTGTTGCAAGTTCATGCAGGATCCTTCCTTCTGTTTGTCCAAGTCTGTGCACTCTACTCTTTGTCTAGCTCTTGCCCTTCCATGTATCTCTGCTATACCAGGTGTTAGTAACAGTGGTTATTTAAAGCAAAACTAAGCTAAACTGAAGGAAATAGAAAATAAAAAGAGGGAGAATAAAATAGTGACTAGTGCTACCTGGTCAAAGCCTGCACAAATGTTATCCATCCCATATTCAAACACACACTATAATCCTAAATGTAATGAAAACAGTGCAGCTAGCTACTGAAAATTAAAAAGGAAGAAAATGCTAGAACATGGTCAGCTGGTAAGTGATGCAGCATTCTATTTTATTGATTGATTGATTGATTGATTGATTGATTGATTGATTGATTGATTGATTGATTGATTCTATCTATCTATCTATCTATCTATCTATCTATCTATCTATCTATCTATTGGATTTCTATCCTGTCCATTTAGACCAAAGGTCTACTCAGCCTTTGATATACTTGGATGTGTGAAAAGATTGCTTGCTAAGGTGGACAAAATATATACAATCTGGTGAGGTTGGCCTAAGCCTTCCCAAGGGTCTTAGAGACTGGAGTTCTCAGAGGGCGTTTTGGTTTTTATTAGTGCTTCAGCTGTCAATCTCTTTCTTTGTTATTTCC